ACAAATTGATCCTACCGACCCTGCAACATCGGAGCGGCACCGCAATGAGTTTGATACCCGCAAACGATGGGCTGCCAGGAGATTTGATATCCCCAGATGATCCAAAAATTTCGCCGGTCAGGAGACTCATCTCTGATCAGGTAGAACGTGAGAAAAATACCCTTTGGCAAACCAGCACAACTATGAAAAATCCCCTAAAGAAATGGTAAAAGGGGGATACCGGGACATCCCAGCATTCATTGTGGGTTGTTATGTTTTTTTTCTGTTGATATGTTGATGTTCAATGTTTCATCTTTACCTTTAATGTTGTGTTTTTTGCGATGGGGATTTTGGGGCAAGTTTGCCCCGAACTTTCACTGTTGATGTTTGGTTTGAATGAGGGAGATAATTGTTGTGGCTGATAGGGTTTTCAGTTTTCAGTGACTTTTGTTTGCAGACTAGTTCACAATTCATAATATGTTTTTTTAAAGATATTATGAACTAATCATAATTAATCAATGTATGTTTTCCATTGTCCTATTCAATCCCACCCGTCTTCAATCAGTCGTATTTGGGTTAAGCAAGATTTTCCTGTATCATTCATTGCATCCATTGCTATTGATAAAAGAAGTAGATTAATAATCAAAGCGTTGCATCTACCATCATGGTTGAATTCTTTACCTCAATCGACGATGACCTTTTTCTCCGTGAGGTTCCATACATTTCTTATAATGCCAAAACCAACAAACGCAAAACATATCATACCATATATATATATATATATACTCCTTCCGCGTTTTCTTTTGAAATCGTCAATTACTTTCTTCCAAAATTTGTCTCCTTCCTCATCATCAGGTGAAGGCACAGGGATGACATTTGACAAAGTCTCTAATCTCTTCATTTTTTCTATATGTTTTCTTCCCATTCATCATCATCACTCCGACTGTCAAAATTAGCAGTCACTCCTACATTTTAAATTTAAATCCTCAAGTTTCATATTGTTTTTTCTCTTATAATATATACAGGGAAACGACAATGTCACGCCTAAGTCATGCCTAGCGTGTTTTGAATGGCATTTACCATTGTAAACGCTGTATCCAAGAAGTCATGCCTAAGTCATGCCTACATGCTTTTCTGCATGGAACGCTGTCCTCAATAAAAGTGTAAACATGCATTTCAGACATTAAAAAAACATAAAACACAATGGAACGCGACTGGTGAAAATATTGCTTTTCTACTCTCTTATAATGTCATTCTCGTGTGCAACCTGCATGTCAACGCTGGGATTCTGCATCATCATTTTGTACTACAAAGCTTGCACAAAGTACTTCCCAGTACTACTTTGTACTACAAAGCTTGCACAAAGCACTTCCCAGCACTACTTTGTACTACAAAGCTTGCACAAAGGACGTTTCCAGTACAAAGCTTTGCGCAAAGCACTTTCCCAGCACTACTTTGTTACACAAGTTCGCACAACCTGACTTCCAAGTACTACCTTTGGTCTACAAACGTGCACAGAGTCACGTTCGCATTTATACTTTGTACTACAAAGCTTGCACAAAGATGCACAAAGTACTTCCCAGTACCACTTCGTACTACAAAGCTGGCACAAAGTACTTCCCAGTACTACTTGTACTACAAAGCTTGCACAAAGTACTTCCAGTACTACTTGTACTACAAAGCTTGCACAAAGTCCTTCCCAGTACTACTTGTACTACAAAGCTTGCACAAAGCACTTCCCAGTACTACTTTGTACTACAAAGCTTGCACAAACTACTTCCCAGCACTACTTTGTACTACAAAGCTTGCACAAAGTACGTTTCCAGTACTACTTTGTACTACAAGCTTGCTCAAAGCACTTCCCAGTACTACTTTGTACTACAAAGCTTGCACAAAGCACTTCCCAGTACTACTTTGCACTACAACGTTTGCACAAAGCACTTCCCAGTACTACTTTGTACTACAAAGTTTGCACAAAGCACTTCCCAGTACTACTTTGTACTACAAAGCTTGCACAAAGCACTTCCCAGTACTACTTTGTACTACAAAGCTTGCACAAAACCCTTCCCAGTACTACTTTGTACTACAAAGCTTTCACAAAGCACTTCCCAGTACTACTTCGTGCTACAAACTGACATGGCAACCTGCTTGGAAGCCTTCGAAAAGGAGAGGTTTTGCAGCTTCCCCCATAGACACGGCGACGCCACAGGAAAACCAGAGACTCGAGACCAGACACGTGGGCGCAGCAAAACGAGCATTTCGTGCGAGACTTCCTCCAATTTTGACACTTTCGACACGTTATCAAACAGGTTGGAATGTGACAAAGTGCCACGCCTGCCACGCAAAACGATATGACAACCTGCTTGGAAACCTTTGAAAAGGAGAGGTTTTGCAGCTCCCCCCATAGACACGGAATTAACGACGCGACGACGACGCGACGCCGACCCGACGACGACGCGACGCCGACCCGACGACGACGCGACGAGCCACTCGAGGCGAACAAGGGTCCAGCCCCCAGACCCCCAGACTATAAACGGGAACCCTTCGCTACGCATTCGGGAAAAACAAGATAATCTGGGATGAACATCCAAAATGATCAAATCACCAGCTCAACGCCATCTTACCTATAACTAATCAACATACCCACCACCTGGAATTCTGCATGCTAATAGTGATCAGCTACGTGATCTCTTAAGAAAACGGGTTACATATCCAAACTCCAGAGTTCCTATGCGTTCTTGCTAAAGGCACGACTTTTGCGAAACACACTTCCCCAAGGCACAACGTTTTTTTCCTAAAACAGGTACGACTTTGTCAGATGCCTGTACATTACCACATGAAAATAAAATAAACGAAGATGCAACTGCACGTTTTACAGTAACGGCAGAATCTGTGTGTAAAAACCCACCAGCACCAGAACATCATCAGCGCAAACAAATGGTTGGCTCAAATAAATAATGTGTCACGCATCCACTCAGCGAAGCCTCTTGGAAAGCTTCGAATCTATCAGCTGAATCGCTTGCCTTTTCGGGCGCCACTTCCAGCCAAAAAGAAAAACATTACCCCAACCGCTTGCCGCTCATATGTAGAAAATCCGAATGCAGGGGCCACTTGCCATCACGTGCCATCACTTGCGATCTCTTGCCATCTCTTGCCATCTCTTGCCATCACTTGCCATCACTTGCCACCTCTTGCCATCTCTTGCCATCTCTTGCCATCTCTTGCCAAGACTTGCCATGACTTGCCATCACTTGCCATCTCTTGCCATCTCTTGCCATCACTTGCCATCACTTGCCATCACTTGCCATCTCTTGCCATCTCTTGCCATCACTTGCCATCACTAGCCATCTCTTGCCATGTTTTGCCATCTCTTGCCATCTCTTGCCATCACTTGCCACCACTTGCCATCTCTTGCCATGTCTTGCCATCACGTGCCATCACGTGCCATCACTTGCCATCTCTTGCCATCACGTGCCATCACGTGCCATCACTTGCCATGACTTGCCATCTCTTGCCATCTCTTTCCATCTCTTGCCATCACTTGCCATCACTTGCCATCTCTTGCCACCGCTTGCCATCTCTTGCCATCACGTGCCATCACTTGCCATCTCTTGCCATCACGTGCCATCACGTGCCATCACGTGCCATCACTTGCCATGACTTGCCATCTCTTGCCATCACTTGCCATCTCTTGTCATCTCTTGCCATCACTTGCCATCTCTTGCCATCTCTTGCCATCTCTTGCCATGTTTTGCCATCTCTTGCCATCTCTTGCCACCTCTTGCCATCACTTGCCATCTTTTGCCATCTCTTGCCATCACTTGCCATCACTTGCCATCACTTGCCACCACTTGCCATCTCTTGCCATCTCTTGCCATCTCTTTCCATCTCTTGCCATCACTTGCCATCACTTGCTATCTCTTGCGATCGCGTGCCATCACTTGCCATCTCTTGCCATCTCTTGCCATCACGTGCCATCTCTTGCCATCTCTTGCCACCACTTGCCATCTCTTGCCATCACTTGCCATCTCTTGCCATCTCTTGCCATCTCTTGCCATCTCTTGCCATCACTTGCCCATGTTGTGCAGTCCCGTTGTTCAGTGAAGGTGGGACGTATTGAATAGTTTGAATTTTCTGAATGGATGAAGGACTATATATAAATTCCAAGTACATCCAAGCACCAAGTATTACCACATGAGAATCTCGCTGAAAGTTTATCTTGGACATTCTTGGACGCACTTTCACAGCAAGCTGCTTCGGCGCAGGGGCCTCCCCTGGCCAAACTACAGAATCAAAGTTGAAGCTACGGGCTCCCCAGGAAGCCAAAGCACGGGCAAAAACAGTTTCCCAACATTTCCCAATTCCCATATTCATTAAGGAGTCATGAGCATTCTTCATCCTTTTTCATCCTTTCTCATCCTTTTTCCGGATTTCGGAGATGATGAATGCTATCCGTTCACCTTCCTGGAGAGATAACGGAGAGCGGAGCCAGCTTCGGCGCGGAGTCGCTGCTCAAACTTACACTATCTGGAATAAACGAAGATGTTATTTGCAAAATCCTGGAATTCAACATAACTGCCGCCCAGCCTCACAGCCATGTTAGTGGAAAAATGCAGCTTGGATATTGGAGAAAAAACTTCCGAGCATATACCATAAATGGCATGCAAAAAAAACATCCTCAAATGGCATTGAATCCGACATTATCACCCATTGTCCCCATTTTTTCATATCACTGTATAGACTATAGATTATTATCATCAATGATCAAAATCATTCCTGTGATTATTAACGCCTAGTATTACTATAGATTATTACATGTTACCTTGGAATATTTGTACTCATTAATTATATCTATTTATCATTTCTTTCGTTATTCATTATTATAGATAATCATCATTGTTTACTGACGACTACTATACATAATCTATATATATATTAATTTATCATGTTTGTTCATTGATGGGTTTTATCACCATCATGCAGTGCTTCCCCTGGACCCCCGCGTAGCCGCTATGGTCATCTCACCGTCGCCAGTTGTCGTCGGCATCAGCCCGGGTGGTGCGATACCTGTGGGCTGTGGCCCTTGATGTGGCGTACATATGGATGCCCATACACATGGATGCCCATACACATGGATGGATGGATGGATGGATGGATGGATGGATGGATGGATGGATGGATGGATGAGAGATATTAAGATATATAAATAGAGATAGCTAGGCTTACGGCCAGTACTGTCTGTTGGAATGGTTGTCGGATCCCTCATTCTTGGTGACCCTTACAGTACTTTGTAGCTTTCTAGGATGTGGGGCTCTAATAACCAAATGTCCCTAGGTCAGCTGATTTAGGGACGTCATTGATAGCCTTCTGCAGTGGATCTGCTGTCCTCCAAAGCTGGTTTCGCCGCTTTTGGGAGAGCGAGGCGGGCTATCCCTTTGTATGAAGTAAGTAAGGGGGTCCGTATCTTACCCTTAATTCGAAGTCTGTAATCCATGTAATAGTTTGATTGATGGGAGTGAGGAGTCTTAATTATCCCTCTATAAGTATGAAGTGACTACGTGTGGGGCGTTGGGCACGTCCTGCAGGTAGGATTACATAGATAGATTTACATTGATTTAGACAGATTTGATTAGATTTGGATAGTAGATAGAGATAGAGATAGAGATAGAGACGGACGGATGGATGAATGAATGGATGGACAAATAGGTCGATCGATCGATAGATCACAGAATTCCCTAGAGGTGCCACAAGATCAATTGTCTGGTCACTTTCATTCACTTTCCATGATCCAATGCCGGCCTTGCTCCACCAAAGGGATCTGGACGCCCAGAGGCTCGCGGAGGACTGTCCTAGATGGTTTTGTCTAAAAATCAAAGCAGAAACCCCACGATCCCATGGTTGATCATCCGCTGCTAAACTAATCCCATCAACCTAATATTAAGCACCCCCCGCAAATCATGGTTTAGTAGGGGGTTTAACAATTTTGGGATCATCTAGGGTGTGCTGAATATTAGGAGGATGGGATTACGGACATGGCACTTTGTGTGGGAACCCCCCCACTAGCCCCGGCACCTGCATCCCCCCATTTTTGCTCCTCTTGATAGCCTGCATCGCCTGGCATTGGTTTGCTTCGCGGCTTCAACTCCAACCTACGGCAGAGAGAGAGAGAGAGATCGTGGCAATGGGCTCTGAAGGCTGAAGGTCAGACAAGTGATGAGAAACAAATGTCGGTGTAGAAGTCTGCATAAGCAAGAAAAAAACGATGCACTGCGAATATAAATTGAGTATGTTCTCGCATCTATCTATCCATCCGTCCATTCATGCATCCTACATCTATCTGGCCAACAAACATGTGGACCCGAACATCACACAAAAAAAATAAATAAATAATAATAATAATGCGCGGATAAAGATTGGGGACCCAAGCAAATCCACTAAAACCGTCCAAATTTCACAGGCTAACCGTGTAACTTGTTCATCTGTCTACTTTTACACAATGATACACCTTGATACACCTATACCGGACGAAACAAATCCGAAACAATGCCATCAAAGGCCAGGCATTTGGCGCAGTAAGAACTGGCCTGGGCCTTTCGCTGCCAAACTCTGCACGGCTAGGAGGACCACGGTCTTCGCGACGACCTTGCTTTTTTTTCAGGGTCTTGGTTGGCAACTGGTTTGAAATCGCCCTTAGCAACTGGATTCGGGTAATTGCCCCCGTTGTGGTCGTTCTTTCAAGCTAGGTCTCTTCCTGCATGCGCACAAGTTAATGAAACCCAAAATGAGGCAGCTGGACTGGATATACAATGATATACATCATGCGTGACCCCAAAATAGGGGAAGGCGGGCTTGTGGTCAAAAACATTTTGCATGACTGTGAGGCAAAGGCTAGGGACTGCAATTCAAATTAATTTCCACGAGCCAAGAGAAGCCTGAGCACTAAGCCCATTCCTCTGTCATCACCTGGTGATGGCGACAAAGGCCAAAAATAATTGAGGAGTCCACTATCAGATTAAATCATGAATTCTGGCTTTACACAAGTGGTTCATTAGGAGATTTTGTTGGCATTGGCGCAGCCCAGAAACAATTTCGCAAAGCCGGTGAAGCCATCTGAAATCCACACGTTGCTGGAATCTTCAAAGCCACTCGCCTCGACTCTTGCCCATGCCTTTGCCGCCTGACCAAGCAGTCTCAAGTGTAAAAACCTGGTGCAACTCCATTTCATCTATATATCTGTGTGTGTGATATTCATTACTTCAAATTCATTCACATATATTTATGATCATCTATTCAAATATAAAGAGATGGATGAAGATGATTCAGATCTACGATATATATATATATATATACACATTGTGCATATATATATATATACACATTGTGCATATATATATGTAATTATATATATACATACATACATACATACATTACTATAGTCACAGTATGTGTATCTAATCCTATTGACTTACAACATATCCAATTGCCGCCTCCGCCAGCACCAGGGGCGCCACCAGAGCTGCCCAGCCGCCGTGCGGGCTCGGGCTTGTTGTCCTCCTGGCAGGACTGCAGCATGGTAAAAGATCCAGGTTTGGGGATCAATTTGGGTATAGCATGGTATAGCACCCTCCCAAATGAGACAGAAAAGTTGAAAACCTGATGAAATATATGGAAAATTATGGACATGTATGGAATGTGACGAAAATCTCACAAAATCTCATCTATACCATCCTGGAAACGCTTTTCTATCTTTTTTGGGGTGGCTATAAATCACGGCAACTTGGGGCAAATCATCCCACACATATCACACATCCAAGCCATTCCAATTTACGGCTGGATTTTATTTCGGGCAGGGGGTTAAACATGGTCGACCCACACATCATCGTGAATCCAGCAAATGCATTAGTATGGCTGAGTGATGGAGCATTACAGTGACCAAAGATTTCGAAGGATTGTCCGACCGTCCAAGTCTGGGGTGAAGAAAATTCTCAACCATTGCTGCTGTTGCTGCTGAGCCTGCCTTGGTCATGATTGACACTGTGATCTCTCGCCCCTTGAAGACGGCACTGAGCACAGGTGTAGCAAACGCGGACGGGCATGTGTGAGGGTCTTGATGCGTCTTGATGAGGGCTGTAGAGGTGCATCGTATGGGCAATTAAAAGAGCTCACATTCAAGTTCCAGCCTAGGAACGAGGGACAATGAAACACAAACATTGTAGGATTAGGGCCATGACATGCCATGACTTCATAACTTTATAAGCATCAGTAGCTTGTTATTTGATCTGGCCCCGCAATTCCCGAAGCACCTGTTGAGCCCCAAAGCTTTTCTTAAGGACTCCTCGCAATCACGATTAGCAACATGGTGCAGCATTCAGCTACAATTACAGGCTGTACATGGAGGGGGAAGATGGGGAGCTTTAGTGCAGATATCAATTCTCTCAAACCACATTGTTGGCAATTTGTTTCGGCATGATACATCAAGGAGTCGCACCAAGAAAGTCGCCTGATCTTTGAATTCCACCGTGCCGGCATGTCTCTCATTCTTGAGCGGATACATCTTGGCAACAAAATGCCCGTGGTGTGTGAAAATGTCGTTTGGCATTTCGATCATCACACAGGATGCACATGGATAAACATGATGAGTTTAACGGTGGAAAGTAACACCTCATTGTTTCCACAAGATGAACCCCATGTGATTCTGTATGATGTGATCCCACCAACCTTTTGGCAACATCCATCAGTAGCTCAGCAGTTTGAGGAGCATATCTGGGGGCACTGCAACACCCTCACATTCGCAGTCTCTATCCCAGAAGAAGTAGCCAAGGTCCTGCAGGGTGCAGCTGCTGGTGGTGGTGGTGGTGGTGATGATGATGATGATGATGATGACGATGATGATGATGATGACGATGACGATGACGATGATAAATATCTGCTTATTCCAAATATGACAGCAAGAGACAGTGAGAAGTGGAATGAGCCTATTCCGACAGAGTTGCACAGACAGTTTCAAAAGAGCTCCTTGAAAAACAGTGGTCAGGTTCGCCAACGTGCCCCCAGAAGTGGAGTAATGATGAACAATGAGGTGTAGTGACTAGTGTTTCAACGGTTTTTGGTGGTCAGAACGTGTTTCAGATCGCCAGGGGCCTCGGATCTACAGTACCCAGGACTCCCAAAATCCAGTCCCTCTGCGTCACCGACTTGTCGAGGCCTCTGACGATCACCTGCCACACGGGAATGGAATGGAATGGATTTAACTCAACATGATGTGGAGACCAAACAGAACACCCAGTGCTTTCTTCAGAAAAAATGCATCTGACTCCATCATCTGACTCTCCAAGTTGTTTCAGTTTCCAACTATGCCTTGTATGGCCCTTCTTCTGGCAGAGGACCAGTGTACCTGGAACCAATCTTCAGACGATTGAAAAGAACTCCACATTTTTCAAAGGTGTGGGCCTCAAAACCTCACAAGTTCACGAGCCCGAATGGATGTTTCCGATGCATGAACTAAACACAACTGTGGCTTAAGAGAAGGACCCAATCCCCCAGTGCATTTGGTTCACGGTTTCAAGGGCTTTGCTCCCATCGCTGCTGCAGCGTCTGCCAGCATCAAGATTCAGCAAGTGTGATTCACTACAGTCGTCACAGTGTCACTCGAAGCCGCGCATTGCAACGCTTCGTTGCTGGTTGCACCTGGGTCATCTGTCCACAACTCCACCTTCACTTTGCGCCTCAAGAGGCTGTGTCCTTGGTGTCATGTGTCATCGCAGGGAAATTTCATGGGTGCTGAACGAGATTGAACAAGTGATACTTTGTCTGAGTGTGAATGGCTCAGTTCCACGGTCATTTGTGATGTCTACACAGCATGATGATTGCAGAGTCCATAATGCCAGTGTGGCACAGCGGAATGCGGAATCGACCTGAGACTCCAACCACTCAGCTGCAAAGCCTGAGGAGCGAAATGGTCGGTCACTTTGTTGCAACACCTTCCTGATATTTCCTGATAGGGAATGCACCCACTGGCAGAAATTGATCCATTGAGGCCAGAACGATCTCAAGGGAAGCCTGATCAATGGCCGGCTGACTTCACGAGAGATCGGCCCTAGGTGTTTCAACATGGTACTGTGGTACTGGCATTGACATGCAATCGTGATAATAGTGAGCACAAACTTTAAACCTTGAAATGGCCCCCATGTTGCTGAACAAACCGCTGTTTGCAACGGTGAGTTGCGCAACTTATGAGTCGCCTTTCCAATGGAAGGATGACGGCAACAGGTTTCCCGTTGATGGGGACTGGGAGTCACGAACAAACATACACAGCTGTTAAACAAACAGGTGACTGCTGGTTCCGTGCTAAATCTGTATAATGACCAAACAAGCAACACGTGCCACTGCAATACACATACGCAACCAATTGATTTACAGTAATTGTAGCGATGCATCTTCCCTCTTTGATCGTGCCCGCCTTGTCGTGAAAATCGATCCGCGCTGTATGCCGCGGAACGTCAAACTGTTCTACTGATTTCACTTTCACATCGCCTCAGTGCCAATGGCTGTGGAAAAATCATGCGATTATCAGGGCATAAGGTTCTGTCAGAATACAATGTGCCTCCGCACACCATGAAACTCATTCAGGTACTGGCGCTCTTCAAAATATTTTTCGATGTCCTTGGCAGATATTTGATGCGAATTGATGCGAATTGTGCATCCACAATTCATGTCCAGGTGAACATGGAGTTCCTTCGAGTGTTGCTCACCCGGCAAGTCATGATCGGCATTGTTTTTGAATTGTTACATGTTGTAACTCATGTTGTTACATACTGCATCTGGTCCTTGCAGATTTTGACATTCAACTGCTGCCTTGCAGTATCTTGAAGTTCCCCTGTGCGCCGCACATCATCGGAGGCTGTCTTGTCAATGCCACTCATGCGCACGGAAAATGGTCCGTCCTGTGGGTTCATTTCAGAGTTGTTTTCAGTCATAGTCATAATAAAAAGGCTCTTGTGAGAGTTGGATATGTCTTGGCATGATTTGGCAGGGTTGATGACCCCTTGCTCAATGTGGCGCTGCGAAGTGCGTTTGACCCAAGAACCCCATGCACACACACAGAGCCAACCTGTAAATCGTTTAGAATGTTTACCCATGTCCTCTGGGAAATCGTCTGGCAAACCAGAATTGCGCTGGACCATGTCCAAACCTGCGATTCAGCTTGCATTTTAAACAAGTAGGGCGCACTATTAACTGCAGGTCAAAATTTAGTTCCGATAGAGTTGAAAAAGTCATCAGTTCCCATAATGATTCCTGTCTTGTGTCAGTCCAAATATGTCGAAATCCTCAGCATGGATTTGCTCAGCATCGGTGGTTGCAAACAACTGTGTCAACGGTCATGCCTGCACGGTCCGCTAACCACTTCCACCTGCACGTCCAGCTATGTGGATCAAAGTATGAGTCAAAGTTGGGGATCAAAATCACCAGTGCGTTTTTTTTTGTATTATATAATTCAGCCAACAAAGTTGATTAATCCGGGGTTGACATTCATTATCAGTTGCTGGCTGAGATTTTGACACTTTCTCAGGCTGCGAGCGGAGCAAATCTCCATTTTCCTGCGTTTTGCAAACCAAGTTGGATGATGGGAAACCAAAATGAATTGATGTGAAATATTGTGCAGTATTGTGCAGTATTGTGCAGTATGTTTCCATCAATCATTTACTCTTGCTAGAAAACGAAAACTAACCATCTGAGGGGTAACAAATATCGACCCCAAACTGACATCGGTACAGAATCAGTCCTTCCGCAGCTGTCGCGTGTCCTCTGCCTCAGCAAACGCCGGCTCAATGGAGCATTCGCAAAACACAATCATTGTCAACGCGTTCAATTCGGGACGCCTCACTCCCTGAACGCTTCACAGAGTTTATGGAAACACGTGGCGCAAAGTAATCATATCATATCCATTCATAGCCCTCTTTGGGAATTCCACGTTTATAATTAAGCGCGTCACTGGATATGTTTGTAGAGTCTCAATCCAAGTCGTTTTAGGGCACGTATTTACTTGTAAAATCGGGGTTCCCGAGATAGACACAACCATTAAATTGTTTACAAAACAGGCGGGGTGAGATACACAAAAGTCACAGAACCATTTTTTTTTGTTTTCACCAAGGTTGTTTGCTTATACAATTTGGGATACCGAGTGGATAAAACCAACCGCAAAAAATAGGGGGAATATCGGGGTGTCAATTCATTATGTGAGGGTTGTCCAAAATTATGGTACCCGAAAACGCCCTTATGCCGCGCTTTCGCGAACCTTTCGCGCCCTTTCGCGCCCCAGAAGAATCGGGACATGAGATTATGATCAGGTTTTCGTTTACTTATAATATAGGTTTATAAGTAATGGTATTCAGACCTTTCGCGAACCTTACGCCGCCCTTTCGCGGCCTTTCGCCACTGCAGCAAAACATACACATCCATATCTGCAGATGTCACTCGGATACTAAAAACCTTGCATGGGTTTTAGGACGACTCCCATGTGATAATGTGCAGCAGTTTTAGAGCGGCCTAGCTTTTGTGCATAGGGCCTGAGGCTTTAAAATGCAGAAAAACAATGGGAACTGTTTCTGCTATAAACTGTGTTTCCAGCAAATTCAGGGCGAATTGGCACCCAATTTTTTTCCAAATTCGAAGACCCTCAGAAACGTTTTTTTGAAAAGGGCTCAATATTTTTTTTCGATAGATGTATTTTAGAGTGAAGGTGCCCAAATATTTAGTGTTTTTCTTCTTTTATAGCATTCTATAGCATACATTATATAGTAAATTCCTTAACCTTCCTTAAAACTCCTTAAGTTGTCTTTATAAAATCCTTCAAATTGTTTCAAAATCCTTATTTTTTTGGTAAAAATCCTTCAAAAAATTCTTTAAATTTCTTTAAAATTACCAAAATTACTGGCATGTCCTTAAAATTCTTTATTTTTTTTAATTCCTTCAAATTTCTTAAAATTGCTTAAAATTCCCTAAATTTCCTTAAAATTCACCATTTTTTTTTTTAGAATTCCTTGAAATTCCTGAAAATTCGACGATCTAAAATGACATGCCCAATAAAATCGATATAAAGAGATCCTGGAAAAACACTGGTTCCATTCTGCAATGAAATGCTCCAAACACTCAATTTTTTGCAATAAAATTAGAATTGAATTTTAACATGTTGAAAATCATCAGGATTTCCCTGGCCAATAAAATGCGCAGACCAACCCCTTAACAATAAAATGACTAACCTGACTCCAATTTTGAAATTCCAATACATTACGGATCTCGCTTAGACTATGCACAATTCATCCATTTCTAGTGTGGAAATTGCCACGGGGATGGGGGAATTGTTATTGTTTGGCAAGTGTGCCGTACACTACATGTGGGTCCGATACGTATGATACGGATGTAAAGTTTGCGCGTTTCTTTGTGCGTTTCGGAGAAAAAAATATGCGTTTCACTGGTCTTGGGACCCTTGATTTTATGAGGTTTCCGCGTTTCACTGGTCTTGGGGTGCCTGATTTGATAAAAAAATGTGTGTTTCGCTGGTCTTGGTTGGGAAAAAATATGCGTTTCACTGGTCTTGGCGCCGGGACATGCACGTGTCTTACATGACATTTCATCTCTACGGCTACATGCTAGACATGAGGTTTTACCACTGGTATGTTGCCAGATTCAGAAAATCAAAAGCAAATAAGTTACGACTGTTGTTTTTCTCCGGCCAGGTTCTTCATGGCATTTGCCAAGCGAGTTGTTGGCCACTCAGGCTGAGAACTTGAAAAAATGAATAGATTGAAGCTTTGAAAGATTCCTAGCAGGTGACAGTTGGTTTTCCCAAGCTCCTACAAGGTCCTTGAGCCTTCCATTGCCATGGGGCGTTGCGATTCTGAAGTGTCAGGTGGGGATTGAGAAAGGAGCAGCAGTTCTCGGTTGGAATTTCTGTCTCGTAAGTTTTGCTTCTCTTTGAAGGGACCAGAACTTTGGCACCTGGCCAGTGTTTCTTCAGCGTCGTTTTGAGCGAGGTTTGAGCGACATGATCTTTGTGATGACCAAAGATGAAAATTCAAGAAAAAACAATGAATCATGATAACACCAAAGATATCCCAATACATGATTTTTATTAATGCCAAGAACATGTGGACTTATCCACCCCTTGTTTAATTATTCTGGTGACCATCAATGCCATGGATATTGTATGATATTATGGTGTTGGGGGTGCCCCAATGGAAGAACTGATCCTGAATGCCCAGTACATGTGGACTCACCCACCCCTTGTTTAATTATTCTGGTGACCATAAATCCCATGAATATTATGGTGCCAAAGGTGTCCTGATGAATGAATGTTCAGTACGTATGGACTCACCCACCCCTTGATTAATTATTCTGACCTGATCTGGGATTACGCAAGGGGCCCGAAACAGATAGAAACAGTTTACCATGGTCCCGCAGCGCCTTTCCCATGGACTTGCTCTGCTTGAGATGGAGCATTTGGGCTGCAGCAATGCTGTTCTCAACTGTGCAAGAACCTTGCTGTCCACGCCGGATCGTCTTCACGGAGCTGTGCTAGGACACGTGTCGGGAACCATGGCTGCAGTATCCCGGGGCGGAACACGAGGCAGCACAATGAGCTAAAACAGCTGAAATTAAACCATGGGGTGGGTCACATCTCAAAATTAAACCAACTCAACTTTCTTCAGGATCTTAGGAGGTGGGTGGACCCCCTGTTTTCGTAAGATTTTTTAAATTAAACCAAAAAAATTAAACCTAACTCAGTGTCCACCTGGTTTAATTTAGCTAGTGCATCCCGCATGGTTTGAGCGACGATTGAGCTCATTGCTATTGTGTTTTGCATGGTTCTTCTTGGTTGCGATCCCTCTAGACTGATATCTCGTAATAAAAGGCATTCTGTCTGCAAGCAAATGTCTGTGATTCAGAAAATCCATAGCATAGCAAATAAGGTTGTTTCTCTTCGGCCAAGTTCTTCATGGCATTCGCCAAACGAGTTGCTGGCCACTTAGGCTGAGCCGGAAAGTTGGCAATGTATTTCTTGAGAAGAAAAAATCACAAGATTAAAGCTTTGAAAGATTCCTAGCACTTGACTGCTGGTTTTCCCAAGCTCCTACAAGGTCCTTGAGCCTTCCATTGCCATGGGGCGTTGCGATTCTGAAGTGTCAGATGGATTGAGAAAGGAGCAGCAGTTCTCGGTTGGAATTTCTGTCTCGTAAGTTTTGCTTCTCTTTGAAGGGACCAGAACTTTGGCACGTGGTCAGTGTTTCTTCAGCGTCGTTTGAGCGAGGTTTGAGCGACGATTGAGCTCATTGCTATTGTGTTTTGCATGGTTCTTCTTGATTGCGATCCCTCTAGACTGATATCTCGTAAGAAAAGGCATTCTGTCTGCAAGCAAATGTTTGGCCAGGTTCTTCATGGCATTTGCCAAACGAGTTGCTGGCCACTTAGGCTGAGCCGGAAAGTTGGCTATGTATTTCTTGAGAAGAAAAAATCACAAGATTGAAGCTTCGAAAGATTCCTAGCACTTGACTGCTGGTTTTCCCAAGCTCCTACAAGGTCCTTGAGCCTTCCATTGCCATGGGGCGTTGCGATTCTGAAGTGTCAGATGGATTGAGAAGGAGCCGCAGTTCTCGGTCGGAATTTCTGGCTCGTAAGTTTTGATTCATTTTGAAGGGGCCAGAACTTTGGCACCTGGTCAGTGTTTCTTCAGCGTCGTTTGAAAAACGTTTGAGCTCATTGCTATTGTGTTTTGCATGGTTCTTCTTGGTGGTGATCCCTCCCGACGGATGTCTCGTCAGAAAGCATTCCATTTTTTTTTCAGCTATAACCTGGTACCAAAAACCTAGCACCATGTCGTTGGCGCCAACCTACTTCGTGGTGAAAATGCTTCTGTACACCCAAAATGGCCTCTCTCACTTCTTGACTGGCACAAAAGAGAAGATCAAAAGTATGTGTGTCTTGTCTGAAAAGGGTGAATGGATGCACGCACAGCGACTCCTTCAAGTGCAGTTTGTTCCCATCGAGCTTGTTCACACTAAGGTTCTTTCACATTGAGCTGTCTTCACACTGAGATGACTTCACACTGAAATTTCTTCAAATTGATGTCCTGATGTCATGTCGTTTTTTAACCGAAATTGTGGCAAATATTGTCTGGCTTGCGCGATGATTTGTTCTCTTATATTTCTGTCATCTTTATTGAATTCCTGGTTTTGAAGCAATGGGTCGTTTTGACGCATGGTATTCCACGCTTTGCTCATGGTATTCAAAATCCAATTTGCCCTTGGTCTTCCAACTCTACGATTTGAACTTTCTCTGGGTAATGCTGATTGAGTGGCAAACGCCACTTGATGTTCAGGGGTGTCGCCTGTTTCGTCTGAGAACGTGGCCCAACAGTTTTAATTTGCTGAGTTCCAACATGCCAGTGAGAGGTTTGATTCTCCTATCTGGACCTTCCGTAGGTGCGTTCAGCTCTTCGTTGGCCCTTTTGTATACGTAGGTGTTTGTATTGTGACGTTGAATGTATGTGGTAGAATTTTCTCAATCCTTTCAATTGGAAAGTATTCAACGAGGTGGCAGCTGCATGCGTGGGTTCAAGTGATTCGAGTCCATATAAAATTTTTGTTGGTGATGACCGCGTCATACACAAAGAGTTTCCATTTTTTTCCACATCTTGTTTTTAGCCAAAAAATATCAAGTTTTTTGAGGACTGCCATTGTTGCAGAAATTCGTTTCCTGATTTCATGTTTTGGGTCTATCTTTTATGTTACGCTGATGCCTAGGTATTTAACTTCGTCGGATGCTTTCATTCTTTGACCATTGCTGAAGTAAACCGTTCCTTGGCTATTGTACGAAATACATGCGCATTTGTCTTTGTTGAGTTTCAAATGTAGATAACTGGATTCTTGTTCGATTAGATGGAGATAACGAGCTGCTAATCTGGCACTTTTTGAAATAATCGGCGTATCGTCAGCGAACAATATTTCATTGAAATTGATGCCTTGGAAAGTTTTCCGATTTTGTGAGTCCCGAAACTTTGCTTTGACATCCAAGAACATGCAGTGCATGGTCAAAATGAAGAGGTAAGGGCTAAGCGGGCATCGTTGCCTAATTCCTGTTCTTTGTTGAAACCAATCGCTGCATTGATCCTTGTGCGAAACTTGAAACAAAGGGTTTCTGCACAAGAATCAGGAAGTTGCCAAACAAAATCTTTCGGGGGTTCCTAAAACATCAACGAAAGAAGGTCCCGGAACAATGCAATGCAACAATTCCACCTGTGAAACAAAGAGGGAAATCCCCGCACGCTACACGAGCAAGGGGGGGACAAAAGGAAAGGAGCATTGGTCCCAGAATGGCAGGACAAGCAAAATGGCATGGACTGGCCACGAGCTGGAAAAGGAAGCCTGCCAAGGCTGGAAAATGTGAGCCGGCAAAAGGATTGCGAGCCCATTGGCGGCCAGTCCGCACGGCATGAATTTCACCAAGAATTGGCTTCAGGCGTTTCCATAGTGGCCAAGGCTGGAAAATGTGAGCCGGCAAAAGGACTGCGAGCCCATTGGCGGCCAGTCCGCGCGGCATGAATTTCACCAAGAATTGGCTTCAGGCGTGTTCCATAGTGGTCCAGGGTGATGACAAACAGTGTATTGAAATGCCAATTCTGCCCGACGGCGCTAAGCCGCCCTGGCTCGAAAGCCCCGCGCTACCACACTGGCCTCTTGAAGGAGCGTAGACAAGGTTGTCGCATGATCCGTGCCAGTGCGGCTGGCCACCCCTTGCGCAATGTGCCGCAAAACCTTGTAGGCACGAGCATCCCAGTTGCCAGTGGTTTCAACGACCATGGGCAGGAACAGGATGCCCTGCCGCTCACAAGTTTGAGCGGTGGCCAAGTAGGTCTCTTTATGGTGTGCATAGGCAGCCGCCGCAGCTCCTTCCCAAGGCGGTTGCCCACTGTCGGCTGCAACATTGCAAGAACCGAACTCCGTGGTATTTCCAATGACACGAGATGTGCCACAGGAGAGAAGCCATGGTCTCTTGAAAGACTGCACTTGGCCCGCATTAAACATATTTAGGAAACTCGAAGTCAGACCGATCTCGCGGCGCATGCTGTGCGTACACTGTGTATTCGTGGCCTGCCGTTGTAGAGGTCATTGATGCTAGGTTTGTCACTAGCATAAAACGACCGGACATGACAAGGGTGTCCTCTTGAGTTGTCACTGCCTCTGCTCCCAGCAATCAACTGTGAATTGACTTTCACGGAGCGTGCGTGTACCGTGTCGCCAACGCTTTTCGATCCCAGTCAGGGGCCAAGATAACCCGTTTAAACTGACGTCGGCCACCGTAGCGTGCGGGAGCTCAGCGAGAAGCTCACTTGTGATTCCTCCGAGACCTGCGATTTCAGTAGTACCTCCTAAAAACAATGCCGCAAAAAGGGTCATGTACCACAGGTTGAATTTCGGGCGCTTCTGTACTCCAATGAATCCAGCGCCAAAAACCCCACCTGGAGTGGAACTCGCACCTCCTCCATTTGCGTGCGAAAAGCAACAGCTCTTTCCACGCCTGCAAGTGCCCTTTCCGTGAAACTCGTAGCAAAGGCCTTTGCCGGTGCTGGACATCCCAGGGGTCGAAGGTACAGAGGAATGTACCGATGCGTGGCCTTAACGCCAGGAGATTCCTCGATGGATCTGACATTTTCGCGCTCGGCTCGGAGCTGCGTTTGACAATCCTGGACCTCCCTACGCAGCCGCAAGGTATCCTCTCCCAACCTTGCTTGTTCTCGAGCTAAGCCCATAGCTTCACGTTGTACGGTTGCAGCGTTGCGGGCAACGTCTCCGACGTCGCGCAACAACTGACGAGCCTGAGTAAGCTCAATTTGCTGCACCTCTAACTCCTGCAGGGTTGTTGTGACTCCAACCCAGGCGGCAGCTACCAGCGCGATGAAGAAGCGCATCAGGATTGCTGCCATAACCAGAGCGAGGGCAGTCTCAGCAACAGTCCAGGTCCAGCCAACTACCGTGGCGCCAGGATTGTCGTTCGTATACCATACGACGAACAAGGTGGCGGTGAGTGCTAGCAAGCTGCCGACCTTTGTTGCAATAGAGCGTACAACCCATCCCTGAATGAATTCCATGGTCCATGACCAAAACAGAGTCAAGAATCAACTGAGTAAAGAAAAGAAAATCGAAGAAAACTGAACAGAGTCGAAAGATGGGGATGGGTTGTGTGAGTTAATACTTGGGCATGATTTTATGATTTCTATCAAGTTTTCAGGCATTCTGAGTCTGGACAGGGTCACAAACATCTTGGCGTGATCTAGTTTGTCAAAAGCCTTCTCCCAATCTAAAAAAAGTAGCCATAACGGTTCATGTCCCTGTTCAGCGACGTGAGTCAAACACCGGACACAGAAAATGGGTTCTGCTGTTGATTTTCCTTTGCGGAAACCAAACTGAGTTTCTCCTGTGTGTTCAGTGATGCGGTTCTTGATGATATAAACGTAAATTTTATAGACAGTGTTCAACAAAGAGATGCGCCTGTAATTTTCTGGGCTATCATGTTCTCCTTTTTTGTAAAGGCTAGTTATTTTAGTTTTGGTGAAATCATCTGGGACGAATGCTTGTTGCCAAAAAACGTTCAGACACTCACATAGGGTTTGAATATTGCCGCGGTCCAAATATTTGAACAATTCTGTGGTACACCCATCTGGCCCCGGTGCTTTATTTGTATGAAGCTTGCGGATAGCGTGTTCCACTTCTGCAGTGGTAATACAGGCAATGTTGAAAATTACTCCATCGCTGACTAATTTGGTTCTGTCTTCTATTGGCGGTGGCATGCCCATGGGTTCCCAATCTTTTTCAAAAAAATATTCTGCCAGTGCGTCTGCCTTTTTTTATGTCCGGCACACGGTTGCCACGGATATCCCTCATGCTACAAAAATTTGGCGTGAATACTTTCTTTTCCATTCGAACATGTTGCCAGCATTTCCGTTTGTCCGTGAGGTCTTCGAAATTTTGAATTTTGAAATTTTGTCTGTCCTTCCGGGCCTGTTTCGCAATTTCTTTGTTGAGTCGCATCTCATATTCAGCGTGACCTGAAAATTTTGCTGCTTGTCTTTCTTCAATCAAATTCCAAGTGGTTTGGCTGATATATTTTCGGTTTTGGTCTCTGTGTATCTTTGTAAGCGCGCGTCTAGCTGCAATTTTAATGATGTTCACGAAACACGAACTCGCGGTGAGGGTCCTCTCTTCCCCACATTGTGCATGAAAATGTGTGCGTATGAAGTCATTGTAAGCTAGGAGTTGTTCCGGGGTTGGGTTGGGGCGCGGTATCGTTCAACGGTGTTTTGCTTAGGTGCATTTTTTGTTTTGAGTTTCAAACGTATAGTTGCAACTACCACAGCATGATCGCTATTGAACGCGATGTCCGTTCTAGCGTCCACATTTAGCACTGCGTTTTTGTATTCTTCGGGTGAAAGGATGAAATCGAGCTGTGCAAACCTGTCAGGTGTCCATGGGGCTATTGATCCTTCGGTAGTGGTTTCCTTAAAAGTACATCTTTTTGAACTTGTTTTTTCGAAACGAGTGTTGCTTATAAAATACTTGTTTGCGATGCAGAAATCTACTAGGCATTGTCTATTCCCCGCCTGTTCGTCAGGTAGGGATGGCACGTGATGGTGTCCCAGACCAAAAATGTGTGGACACATGATTTGCTCTTCTTCTAGGGACGTGCAGCCATGTAGTCGAGCGTTGGTGTCTCCTAAGATAAAAATGGGTATTTGTCGTGGCTGTGAATGCATGAGTTCCGGAATGTATTCCCAATGAACGTGTTTTTCCTCACGCGGTCTCCTGCTATGCGGCGCATATTGGTTGACAAACCTCATGTTTGAACCGTGGTTTCCAAATTTAATTTCAATGGTTCTGCTGTTGTGTGGTACGCAATCAAGAATGTAGTCTCCAAATTTGGGGCCAACTATGAAACCCACTCCGTGATGTTCAAGGAGTCTTCCTCTGGCATTTGTTTCTCTTCGCACGGTGGAACTGAAAAAAAAGTAAATTTGCAAGTTTCAGTTGTACGGACTTCTTGGGAGCAGTTATTGGCCTTTGTTTCTTGCAACGCAATCAAGTCGATGTTATGATCATTCATAATTTTGACGAGGTGTTCCCTCTTACCACACTCGATTAAACTGCGGCAATTTAGTGTCGAGATCTTGATGGTAGATGCGTATGGGAATTGTTTTTTTTTGTGGGGTCTCTGGGTTTGGGTTCTGAGTTGGTAAGCATTGTTTTTTGTTGCGCCGCGTTTTTTTTTTATATTCTTGAAATTTCGCTCCTGACGCCTTTTTTCAATGACTTGTATCTGGTTTCCCTATATTTGAAGGCGATGGTTGCGCCTTTTCCGGGTGAATTTTGGCAATTTTTTTCCCTTCAGTAGAGGATAATTTGTCTTGTGTTTGGTCTAATTGGTTAATGTATGGTTGCGATGTCCTTGGGTTTTTGTACTGCGTGGAAGAATTTTCCAGTAGGTTGGTTTTTTTGGATTGCTGCATCTAGCGATGAGGCTGCAATCACTTTCCTCATCGTTTCCTTGTCCAAATGTTTCCACTGTCTCCATAGCCGTCTATTGGTTTTCCTGTTTTCTCTCCATGACACGAACCTCTTAATTTTTGTGTGTATGTTTCTATTCCTTCGTCTGGTTTTTCGGCTACTTGTATGTTTTTATATTTCTTTCAAGGACAGGTCGATGGAGGTCAGCATTTTGGTCTGCCGCTACCCCTCCTCCATGCGTGTTTGTGCGTTGCTCTCCTGCTTCAACGCTTGCTGGACTTCTATGTTGTGTCGCCAATCATGCACTGAAATGTACTTGCACCAAAGGGAATCTTCGCGTCAAAACTGAAGTCAAGACCTGCGTAGACTCCCTTGCTTCTGCCTTTTCTTGTTTCGTGTTGCGCGTTTCCTTTGCCTTTTCCTTTCGTCTGCGTCTTGTTTGGGGATATTTGCTCCAATTTATCTTCGAAAGTGGCTTGGAACGTATCGAAAAGGGGCTCATCCACAAAGACGTGACAAGTCGCAGTAGCATAAGAGAAGTGCAACCAGACGAGGTAGTCTTGGTACTCACGGCTCTTCACTGCATGCTCATTCCACGATGGGAAGAACTCTGGTCGTTCTTCTTCTGGGATTTCATTGCTTGCTTCCATTGCCGCTTTCAAAAAATACCCTCTCATTCTTGCATTTTCACTTAGGGTTTTGCGTAAATTCATTTCTGTGTTGGTTGCCCGAACCGTGGACGCTGAAAACAATTTTTTTTTCTTTCTGTGAACGTAGTTATCAATGTAGAACTGGTATGAACTGGAAGGCCTGATTGGGGTGCCAAGCCGACGAGAACTCACCATGATTATGTTTGAAAGGTCGCCCTTGGTGTTCTTTAAGCTCACTTGGAAGCCCGAATCTTTGCGCTTCGCTTGTTCAACCAGCCAGTTTGCGAAAGTCCAGCCAGTTTGCGAAAGTTTTTCGATCTTCTACTGAGGCCTTTTTTGGGAAACCTTCAATTGAAAGTGACATTGAAATTTGCATCGCGTCCTGCTGAAGCTGCTTGAACAACAAGTGGGCATTGATCCTGGCATGAGATTCTACATCGTATGTGGTTTCTTTCAGTCACTGATCAATTTCATGGATTTTCTTGTCTGTGTTGTCCTGATTTTCTCTGTGTCTCCTTCTCAATCTGGTCAATTCAGCCTTCATCTCATCCAGGGGCATTTTGGCTAGATTTTTTTTTCTTCCTCTTCTTCTTTGGTTTTTGTCTCTCCAACTCCGAATCCTCCGTTCTTGAACTCAGTGTTGCACTCGTATTTGTGGTTCTTTGCGGTTGCGGCGGAATTTTCAAAGGTGTTTTGGTGCCATCCTCTCTCACTGGTGAATTGACAGTCATTTGTTCAAGTTTTTCTGTTGTCAGTTTCATGGCTGGTGCTCGCTGCCTGTTTGATGAACTTGCCGGTTCATCCTTCTCCTTTCTCACAATTTGATTGATGTTCCTTTGGAGTTTCTGTATCGTCTTGGAATTTTGTTTTCTTAAGTTGTGTCGGCGGTGTTTCTGGCGAGAAAACCAATGCCTTCTTCAATTTTTTTTTTTTGCCTTTGCCTCTCTTCCTTTGTTTTTTTCCTGTTTCTCTTTTTCCTTTGTCTCTTTTGGCGTTCGACTTTTGTCTCCTCCCCTCTCTGCCATGGCTTTCGAACCTCTACTCCTCCTGACCTAATCTTGGGCCTAATAAGAAGCACCACGGGTTTCAGACTAGTTTTTGCTTGGATGCTCTTCTTTGAGGTGTCACAAAGACAGTTTCCCGTGGCAACTGAGGAACAGCAGTTCTCGGTCAGAATGTTTGTGCTGTGTTTGGCACATGGCCTGTAAGAGTCAGTACAAGGGTTTGTTTGTAAACCCGATTCCCAAATTGGTGGTCGGTTCCCCACCGAGTTCATAGCGGCAGATGTCAATGTCGCCGGCGGCACATGATGATTCAAGACATGCGGGCAAAATGCGCAAGTATTGCTGTTTGGGGTCTAATGCTGGTGTATGTTTTTTTTCGAATTTGTTGTTTCCCGGTTTTTCCTTTTTCTTCCTCTTTGTGGTTCACTTCCTCGGGCGTCACTGAGCACCAATGGAATTAATCCCAACCGTTACCGCCGTTTTCCCCCCACTATGTCCACATGGACGAGTTTGTACGGAAAGGGTTAAGGCCGGTGTTTAACTTGAGCAGGGTGTTCCATCCAGTTTCCAGTTTTCCCCCGACAAACTATCACGTAAAAATATTGTTGTAAAATGTCCAAGTACATATCAACCCTGCAGGTTCGCACGAACTCTGCCGCACAAATTTGTGTTGACCTCGGCCAGCCACATTTTACGCGAGAATTCTCGCATGAAAACCCTCCTCACGCATGTCCGTTTGCATTTCGACTGTGCGGGTTCGCACAAAATGATTGTCCCGGCCCCGGGGCGCGTCATTTTACCCACGAATTCTTGCGTACAATTGTGTTTGTTCCATGTCCAAGTGAATTTCAACGGCGAAGGCTCGCACAAACTCTGCCGCACGAATTTTCCTTGATTTTGGTCTGCGGCATTTTACTTGAAAATTCTCGCGCGAAA